TTGTGAGGCTGGGCCTGAGGTCTGCCAGTTTTTGTCGTGTGCTTCTTGTTGTTGTTGTTCTTACTGTCTAGATTCCTTCCACCAGCTGCCGACGGGTGTCAGAGTACACTGGGGACGGCTGACACCTCTCCGCCAGCCAAGGGAGTACAAGGCAGAAAAAGGGAAACCGATGAAAGTGTAGCTGCGGAACCAAACGCAGGATACACACGAACACATCAACATCAGCAACGTGTGCAAAACTCGAGATCCCAGACAAGTTTTCAGGGCATTTATAATACCCCGGGTTATCTTGAGGTTATCTTGAGATGATTTCAGGGATTTTTAGTGTCCCCGCGGCCCGAAAGTCCTCCTCCACCCCCAGAAAGCAGCCCGTGACAGCTGACTAACACCCAGGTACCTATTTGCTGCTAGATAACAGGGGCATAGGGTGAAAGAAACTCTGCCCATTGTTTCTCGCCGGCGCCTGGGATCGAACCCAGGACCACAGGATCACAAGTCCAGCGTGCTGTCCGCTCGGCCGACCGGCTCCGGGTAGTGTGTTTTATGTTTTAAGTTTACCTAATAGCCTTTCACCTGTAATCAGGGGTCTCGTGGCGCAGTGGTTTACGTCCTAGGCTCGCAACCCAGAAGCTTCAATAGGCCAGAGTGCTGCCTTCCTGTCCCCAACAACGGGAACTTTGTGATCTATGATGAGGGGTGTATAATATATGGGATATCTATGATGATAATGCTCCTGATTCTTCATTTTGGTGATGATCAAAGCAAGAGTATTATCATTACTAGTCGGCTGCGTTATCTGTGTGGTAGAGCGCTCAGACAACGTGTAAGGAACCTCTCTGACCTGTCACTAGTTATTTCCAGTCATGTGCCCTGGTACCCAGGCGACTCTGGCGACAATAGTGATAGTGGGTAACGTCACTCATCCTGTGAGTATACATACTATTACCTCCAGCATTTGTACTTCATTGGGATGCTTGCCGCTCCGTCCAGTTCTTGTCTGTTTATTAGTAGCAGGTATGGGACAGTTTGTGTAGGTGTGTGTGGGGTTGGAGACTGGGTGTGTGTAGGTGTGTGTGTGTGGTTGGAGACTGGGTTTGTGTAGGTGTGTGTGGTTGGAGACTGGATTTGTGTAGGTGTGTGTGTGGTTGGAGACTGGGTTTGTGTAGGTGTGTGTGTGGTTGGAGACTGGGTTTGTGTAGGTGTGTGTGGTTGGAGACTGGGTTTATATAGGAGTAGACGATGGGAAAGATTATATTTGTGTGAAAAATGTTTGCAATGTCTTTCCTTCTCTCTAATTCCTCCCTTATTGCTCCCCCTCACTTTCTCCCCCACTCTCCCTCCCTCTCCCTCGCCGTGTTGTTAGGGTGACTTGCTGATGGTGTGGTTTGCGTCACATGTCGCTCCTCTCCCGTTATCTGGTGATATCGCCTGTCATTCTCTCTTATCATATAGATCAGCTGATTGCTCTTCTCTTTCGCGCGCTCTCAGGCAGGGTATTTACCAATTCTCTGTCTCTCTCTCTCTCTCTCTCTCTCTCTCTCTCTCTCTCTCTCTCTCTCTCTCTCTCTCTCTCTCTCTCTCTCTCTCTCTCTCTCTCTCTCTCTCTCTCTCTCTCTCTCTCTCTCTCTCAATATACATTTCACAACAAATCCTCCTGTTATGACCACATAGACAATAAGAATAGCCAACATAGAGGGACTATGTGGCCACATTAGCACAACATCGAGAACAAGGATGAAAAGATACCCAACCATTACCTAGGCATACACGCCATATATTAGGCCTATAGGTATTCAAGGTAGGCCTATATGAATTCAAGTTAGGCCTAGGTTAGGTTACTATGTTTTCCCGTCAAACCTTAATATTGAATCCTAATGTTTACCAATATGATAAATTGTTTGATTTTAAAATCATTCATATTTTGTACGTACAACTCACAACCTTTATTGTGGGTTGTATGTTGTGTACGAGAGAGAGGAGGGACAGAGGGACAGAGAGAGAGAGGAAGGGCAGAGGGAGAGAGGAGACGGAGGGACAGAGGAGACAGAGAGAGAGGAAGGGACAGAGGGAGAGAGAGAGAGGAAGGGACAGAGGGAGACAGAGAGAGAGAGAGGAAGGACAGAGGGGGACAGAGGGACAGAGAGGAAGGGACAGAAGGAGAGAGAGAGAGGGAGGGACAGAGGGAGAGAGAGAGAGAGAGGACAGGGACGAGGGAGAGAGAGAGAGGAGAGGAAGGACAGAGGGAGAGAGAAGAGAGAGATGAAGGGAGAGAGAGAGAGAGAGAGAAGGAGAGAGAGAGAGAGAAGAGAGAGAGGAGGGGAGCGAGAGAGAGAGAGGGACAGAGGGAGAGAGAGAGAGAGAGGAAGGGACAGAGAGAGGGAGAGAGAGAGAGAGAGAGAGGAAGAGAGAGAAGGAGGAGGAAGGGAAAGAGAGAGAGAGAGAGGAAGGGACAGAGAGAGAGAGAGAGGAAGGGACAGAGGGAGACAGAGAGAGAGGAAGGGACAGAGGGAGAGAGAGAGAGGAAGGGACAGAGGGAGACAGAGAGAGAGAGAGGAAGGGACAGAGGGAGACAGAGAGAGAGAGAGGAAGGGACAGAGGGAGACAGAGAGAGAGAGAGGAAGGGACAGAGGGAGACAGAGAGAGGGAGACAGAGAGAGAGAGAGAGGAAGGGACAGAGGGAGACAGAGAGAGAGAGAGGAAGGGACAGAGGGAGACAGAGAGAGGGAGACAGAGAGAGAGAGAGAGGAAGGGACAGAGGGAGACAGAGAGAGAGAGAGGAAGGGACAGAGGGAGACAGAGAAAGGGACAGAGGGAGACAGAGAGAGAGGAAGGGACAGAGGGAGACAGAGAGAGAGGAAGGGACAGAGGGAGATAGACAAGAATGGAGAGAAGAGACAAAAATTTGTGGCAAGTGGAATTGTTTATTTTCCCAGGAAGCACAGGAAGCCTACATGAACACTGACAAGTGTGGTGATGTCAGTTAAATGGTGACTGAATTGTCTGTTTAGGTGGATAGTTGGATGAGGGGGAAGGGAGGGGGACACTATAGAAGAGGTATAAACTGGGAAGAGTGAGGTGTGTGCCAACAGGGGGGGGGGGGGGGAGAGTGCCAAATGTGTGCATCCGTGGCACTAGGAAACTGGTGAGTTGTCATGTTGGGGTGTGTGTCAGAGGCAGTGTGGGGGGAGGGGGGAGGGGAGGGAGGGGGGGGGGGGGGAGGGATGGGAGGGGAGGGGGGGAGGGAATGTCTGGGAAAGGGGTTGAGGTGTTAGGTAGGGAAAGATTTGGGTTGTTGTTGTTTAAGATTCGCTACCCGGAACAAAAAGTTCCAAGTTCAAATTGACGGGCATGACATATTACGGGGTGTTGAACATGGCGCTATAGTGGTATGTTCACCCACACCTTCAGTCATGTACCTCACTAAACTTTTGGTTGATTTTTGTTTAATATGCCTCCAGGATGCAATTAAAAAAATAACCTTTAAACGATATTGCTCGGTTACACACACAAGTCACAATAGCGTGATGCATCAAATGAACAAATGAACATGTCGTAGCTCAGTCGATAAAGGCAGCGTCTGGGATGATCTCGGACGTAGGTTCGAATCCTCGTCACGGCCCTTGTGGATTTGTTCATTTAATATTGCTCGGGTTCTACCTTGTTGCATATATAATCGTATCTGTGTGACCTGGAGCACGAGGGCATTTTAGGGGGTGAGATTAAAGAGGATGGAGAAACACAGGCGAAGGGAAAAGTTTGGAAAAGGGAAATATAGCGTGACTTATGACGACTGACGTGCTGTCCGCCTCGCTGACACGCACCACCAAGGCAGCGCCACTGCATTAAGGATGGTCTGAGAGGCGAGACGTAATCCTGTTGAAGACGTCAATACAGTACTGCTAAGTGAAAATCCCCTGCATGAGGAGCACTCACGGCTCAGAGACGAGTGGTGGCGTGTAGCTTCGCCCAGTCAACCAGAAATCCTTCAGTTATTATAACCCGATAATTGGTTTGTTGTTCATGGAGTCAAATTTTAGTGTGATAATGCATTAAGTAGAGTACTCTAGGGATCTGTCCCAAGATATCTGCTGTGTTCCACGTTATAAACAAGATTCAACAACAACGTTACCAACGTTCCTAGTAACGATGACATTTGGGAGTAAATTTATTTAGACAAGGACTAAAAACCACTGCAGGATGACTTGAATACATTTTTACCATTAACTTAAAAAAAAAAACATAAAATCAAAGAGAACATGGAACTTAAAACTAAATAAGCTTAGTTTTGGAAAATAATTGGGTAAAAAAAAGGGCTTGAAAGTAGTGTAGGGGATTTATGAAAGGCGTGGAGTCGCAGGAGTGTTTCAAGCGAAGGTTAGACAAGTGGGTTAGGTTTAGACAGGAGCCGCTTCTCATGGAATAATAGGCCTGCAATTTCCTAGCTTAATCAGTTCTTATCAACAGGTGTGTAATCGTTACATATATGTACATAATCAGTAACAGGTGAGTCAATTTCTAAACGATTTACATACCTGTAGTTGACCAATATGATTAAAGATTTTAGTAATTAAGCAAACTTGTAATTGATCAGAGATTTAGAGGTTTGTAAAAGGTAGGAAGTCTGGGCCTATTTGTTTGTAAACAATTAACCACGTGTTTTCCAGCCACGTGGTGAAGACGGTGTTTGAGACCCACGTGTTGAAGACCCACACACACATGTACACGACCAACACAGTGTTGAAGGACAACGTACATGACTCAAACTACTTCATAATGTACCCTCACGACCCAACACAGTGTTGCCATCCTATGTAAACTCTTGTCAATTCTGTTGTGAATTTACACGACCCTTCCAGTGTTACCAACGCTCCCACACAAACCCTAAGAGTTACCAACGCTCCCACACAAACCCTAACTAGTGTTACCAACGCGCACACACACTACTAACGCAGCGTTGCCAGCTTAGCGTACTAACCCACCATTGTTTGACTTTGTTACAGAGTCGAGCGAGGCTGTGTGAGAGGCCCACCCCCCTCTCCCCCCCACCCTGCCCCCCCTCAAGGCTGTAACCATGGCAACAGCGTTCTCATCTTGAAACCATGAACAACACGCCTACCCTTGTAACCATGGTAATACCTGAAGCATGTAGTTTGGCAGTTCACCGTCTTGGTTTGACACGCTAACTTTACTGCTCGTTAATGTTGTCTGCTGTGTTGAGCATTTTCTTTCAGCTTTATTATAAATATTTTTTTGGTCGATGGTTTTGTTCGCGTTAACCTCCAGGTAGAGGTTATATCTTGAGGTTATCTTGAGATGATTTCGGGGCTTAGCGTCCCCGCGGCCCGGTCCTCGACCAGGCCTCCTTTTTGTTACATTCCAGGAAGCAGCCCGTAGGAGCTGTCTAACTCCCAGGTACCTATTTACTGTTAGGTGAACATGGGGCATATTGGTATTTTTACATTCTTGTCAAGCCACTTATGTCTTGTGTGGTAATCTTCCTCTGAGCCTGAGTAGAAAGCCTTGGTTAAGTCTAGGCCCAACCTATGCTCTTACTAATTACGTCTGAATTTAGCCGTTTACCCGTATGGTCGAAAATGGACGTAAATTGAAAATGAAAAAAAAAAAATAAATAAATTTTGGATTTTTTTTGTCCAAAACAGTAAGTTATGGGACCTCTGGTAGGTTAGGAGGGCAGGAAATTCTAAAGTTTCAAAACGTCATGGAAAACTTTCAATTGAAAGTGACCTGGCTTAACCTAACAGACTAAGCCGTAGTACCCAAACAGAAAACGGGACAGTACATCACTTTCGTGAGCCGATTTCATTTCAAATTACGTCCAATTTTGGCCATAACGCGCATACGAGCGAAAAGCGACGTTATTTTTAAGAGGACGGGTTGGGCATATAAGTATCCCATTTCTTATCCTTCTCTCCGTCTTTAAATAGGCAGGGTGCTTGAAAATAAGAAAAGTAAACTAGTCAAATTGATAAGTAAACTAGTCAAATTGATTTACAGTTTAGTGGCCCCATTTCCCATGCTGTGAGCATCATGATGGACTCTGGAACTGATTCCCTTAAATACATTTTAGTTAGTCTTGGTAAACAGGGTACCCAAGTTTAGTGTGCATGTCAACAAAAAGGGGTACCACCTCTGGTGCAAGTGTAGGGACCCATAGCCTCGGAGAAGAAAATAATGAGTACTCAGAGAAGACCTTGTGGATCCTCACTGAACACTTTGATATTTTCTTCTCCTACCACCCCTATTCTTTTGTATATATGCAAAATAATTTTGATGTATGTTATTATTTGGGTGACGTGGTTGCTTGTGTCCTCCCCACAGGGTCACCTTGGGCTGGCGTGCGACGGCGACGGGGTCGACCATATGTTGGAGGACCACCCCACTTACCTGGAGAGCTTCTGGAGGCTCCACCAGGAGCTCCTCTCTGGCGATGGGCCCCTGCCTCACTCCCTCCGGCGCTACGTGGCCATCATGGTAGGTCTCGTGACCTGTAGGGGGCGCCTCCTCATGCTCCCCTACAGCTATTGCCGCTTCCTCTTGGTAGAAAGTCTTAAAAAATTGTCCTGCGTGTTCCGCTTCTCCCTTCCTCCCCCCCTCTCTCATTTATATTACCAATACCCGCCAGCTTGGGTATTCTTGTCAGATCACAAACTTGTCGTCAACCTACGGGTGCCAGCGAAGGCATCTCCACCCCCCCCCCTCGCCTCCCCAAACCCTATCCTCCCGTAGCCCCTCGTCACCCATCCCCCCCCCCTTCACTCTATCCCCCTCTTCACTTTCTTCCACCACGTCCATACCTGTCGCGCTTCTATGTCAACCCGTTCTCGCACTTGCTTATATAGTCAATATTTGGCTTATTAATAAGTGCATATGTGACATACTAATTTATTGTGAATATTTTGTCTATGTTCCTATTGACCTCCAAATTTATTTCCCACCTTCCCGCCCACACTTAGATATCCCCGCCCACAGTGCCACACGTCACCGCCCACAGTGCCACATGCCTCGCTTGCCTCCAGCACGTCTTGGCACTGTTACCACCATGTGGGTGATTAACCCCCCCCCCCACGATGCTCCTTCACTCGCCCTATCTCACTAAGTTCTACCTTCTCTTTGCCCCTCACTACCTCACCCCTCTTCTCTCACCTCGCCTACTTCTTCTCTCACAACATTCTCTACAGCTTCACCAACTCATATTTTTCTGAGTGTGGAGAGTGAGGTAGCGCCCCAAGTTCTGTTACGGGCTCACCATAGGCCGTGTTACTTGGAGCTTCTTGTTCCAGGTAGCGAATCTTAAACAAGAAGCCCCAAATTCCTAGTTCAGTTTGCTTCAGTGTTCCCTTAAAGGGATGAAATTGGTCTGGTAGAGTGACTGAAAATGGGGTCTGATAATGTGGTAAACTCATCTGAAATTGAAATAAGTTTATTGAGGTAAAATACACACAAAGGGATGAGGTAACTCAAGCTATTCTCACCCCGTTCAGTACATCGTGTTAATACATACATATAAACACATCACAAACAATAAACATATTACCAAACATTCTGAGAGATAAACATATACATTTCCTAGCTCATCTGAGGGTGTGGTAAATTGGTTGAAAACTGTATCGAGGGGACCAATTTTCTTCTGGTAGTTTGGTTGAGAAATTGATTTGGTATTATTGTAGAGTTTCTGAAATTGGTGCGGTGGTGGGGGTAAAATAGGTGTGTACATTAACCTGGGGCTGTGGTAGGCGCTGTTTGAGATATTCTGGAAGTGTGATGGTATGGTCGAAATTGCTTTTAGGTTTGAATATTTATAGAAATTTCGCGGATGGTATGATGAGATTGGTTTAATAAAAAAAAAGCAAAAAAAGTCGTAGTGATGATCACCACATACAAAATAGTCGGGCGAGCAGACAGAGCAGACAAGGGCAGACTAGCACAGGTGGTACGCGAACAAAGGGGGGGGGGGGCACAGGTGGAAACTACATATACCTGAGTCAGTCAGACACACTGGTGAAGGCCAATTACATGGCTATAACTCAAGTCTAATAAGGCTCTAGATCACTGTCGAGGAAGGGTTGAGAGGCGGGATTCAAGAGCTGTAGCTCACCCGCAAACACAGCTAAATGTGTACCTAGTTTAAGAGTGAGTGAGTGGGAGTCTGGCACATAGTTGGCTACAGGCTCATCATTGTATGATTGCTACCTAATGTTACCTGATGAATAAAGGCTATTCCTACTAATGCACATAACAGGCTCGTGGAAATAAATGGGCCTCTAGGAGCAGGCTTCAACTGAGCCAAGGAAGAATTACAGCTCTTGCTTGCAGTTTCAGCAGGTTCCTTACATGATAGTTCCATATGTGATAGTTTCAAAGTACATTCTCATGAAATAAATGAGCTTCTAGGGGCAGGCTTCAGATGAGCTGAGGTAGGATAACAGCTCTTGCTTGCAGTTTCATTAGGCACATCATTTTAAAACACTTGAAAAACCATTAGTCTTGCTTAAAAAAAAAAAAAAAAAAAAAAAAGTGCGCGCGCAGGAGTATACACTCTCGTTCAGTTAGTTCCATTATTATTGAATCTGACATATTTATTTATCATAGAGCAAACTACTTTTGTAACAAGTTATAATCCATTTTACAAATTCCAAGTCTTGATTGGCTCACATGATCACTGAGCATGCGGGAGATGCCCTAGTTTCCTCAGCCAATCACAGATTGTCTACCAAATTCAAGGGTCGTGATTGGATGGCATGATTTCTGGCATCGGGAAGCATGAGGATAGTGCCATCCGTCCCCTAACCAGTAACTATATTCTTGTGAAGAATTTTGTTATTGTGATTGGTTAACATGATCTGTGACGTCATTGACACCTCGGAAGATACATTTCTCGCTGAACCAATCATAATTTTCTTTGAACATTACGCGATGACGTCAGTACATTCACGGAAGCTTGTCAAACACGATCCAATCAGAATAATAGTGACAACATGGAGATACGATAACTTACCCCACTGAGCCAATCATTATCAACATTGACAAAACTGGGAATTGTGGTTGGGTGTGGTAGCGAATGGTAGTGGCGCGATGTGTGGTTGGTGGTGGCGCCAAGGAGACGCCAGCCAGGCGCGGGAAGAGGTGAGAGGTTCAGTACCCGGGCTGCCACCAGCGGCGTCAGTAGTGGGTCAAGGGTGTCTGTCTGTCTGTCTGTCCAGGGTGGTCGTCGATGGTGCCACTCGCACTCACCACACACACGCCTATTGCCGTATTCTACACTCTTAAGAGCATTTATAATAAATAAATAATTATTGGAAATGTTAATAGAGGAGGTATTCAGGGATACAGGCTCGGGAGATTTATTTAAAATAATTCAGCATCTACCGCATTTTTATGCGGTAGAACGCATTCAGCATTTTTATCAGCATCTACCTGATATAAATATCAGGTAGATGCTGATATAAATATATACGATAATCATACAACTTAAACTACTATATCACTAAAAGTTATACAGGTATTTAGAATGATAATAAAATACTAAAATTTGTAATATAATTTCATAGCATAATTTTTAAATATTGCTTCTATAAACATCTTAAGCACAGATTTGTTCACTTATTCAACGACGTTAATTTTCGTAAATTAAAAAATATGTACAAATTTAAAGTCTTTTGTTCATTAAGTAATTACAAACTTTTGGTTCAGTAATGTGTGACGTAGTACATTTTTGTACGTATGTATTTTAGATTCAGCTACCTGGAACAAAATGTTGCAAGTAGCACGGGCTATGGTGAGCCCGTAGTGCACTTTTGTATAGGTATGTGTACTTATCAGTGTGAATGCTTTCATTCTTGGTTATTGAGATTACATACCTTTAAAATGTTCATTGTGTCTGAGTGCACTGTTGACTAAACTAAAGAGAGGATCCTGATGGACATCACTGACATTACGGGCTATTCATGCCCGTGCCACCTCTTGGGTGGCTTAATCTTCATCAGTCAATCAATCACTGACACACGGGAGACATCTCCCGTCACGCAGGGTGCAGTCGCACCTCCACAGATCTCCAGTATCAGCTATTGATACTGGTAATGGCTCAAAAGGGCCACCACTTACGGGCTATTCATGCCCGTGCCACCTTTTAGGTGGCTTAATCTTCATCAATCAATCAATCAATCACTGACAAACAACGGGACCCCTGCCGACATTAATCACGAAATACAGTTCACAATATACAAGAGTAACAATAAAAATGCCTACTTAATCACGAAGAGCTCTTTTGACACCAAGCAAAAGGCCTTGAAAGAGACGTCTAGAGTTTGACATACTTCAAGGATACATATGTCAGTTGCTTAACTTAGAAACTGTACTTGTGGTCGATCTCGAACCCATTTATGATGTGACGACTTATACAGAATTTTGTAACTAGCTCATCAAGATTGTAACTTGCTTAGCTAAATGAATTGTGGGGTTCAGTCCCTGAGCCCATTATGTGCTTCTGTAACCCTTTCCACTACCACCCACAAGATGGGTATGGGGTGCATAATAAATGAACTAAACTAAACTTCGGGGATTGTCAGCTCCAATGATCTCTGTATATAGGCACGACAACAAATCTCTTCCCAAAGCATCTAACAATACACAAACAACATGGCTCTGTTAAAAATCACGGGTTCTACACACAACCTGACCATTCCCAATATTATCCTGGTCAATCCATACAATGACAGTTAAAAATTAGACATAAACGAAGCACTATCAAACACACCCAACTACCACCAACTATAAAATCTTCAAATTATAAAATGAACTTTAAAAAGAGTTCATATTTCTACTTCCCTCTCAAGTGAAAAACATAATAAATCCTGGAGAAGATCTGATCTATCCCTTTGTCATATTCATTTTATGTATATATGATATACACTGAAAGTGGAGACGGGGAGAAGGGTGGTGTCCCTCTGACGGACCACCTGGAGGAGGTAACTGGGAGGCGAGGAGAGAGCATGGAGGAGGTCGTCCCAGACGTGCAGGTATGTGCGGTATTTATGTAAAGGCTTGCAGAGCGTGGATAGCCTAGCCCGCGAGATGGCGTCAGCCGGATGGCAAACTCTAATGAAGCGAGTGTTGGATACTTCTCCACAAATCTATTATTTCCCTCAACACAATTTTAATTGTTTTTTTCTCTTCTCTGAGACAAGTAGTAACAGTGTCTGTCATTCAATGATGATCTTGATTGACGTTTGGTTGTCAGAAGACATGAAGCCGAGTGGATGGAGGGAGGGGGTGTTGGGAGGACAGGGGAGGTGCGTCACTTAAGTGTAGCAAGTTAATATACACTACAAAGAGATGAGTGTACCAGAGTACTTGGAAGAACCGAGTGACCGTAGCGAACCTTGCAACTGCACAGAGAACTCTTAAAATGTTGTGCGGGGCAAGAGAGCTTGAAAAATAAATCTAGTGGAAGCAGTCAACTTCTCCTTGGAAAA